ACTTTGCTTATTTTTTTGGAAAGCTAAAGACCATACAACATCAATTGCCTCATAGCATCTCCTCTTCCCCCTACCCTTCACATTTTCTGGGTATCACATAACCTTTCTGTCTTCCCAACCAAGACGAGTTTTCTAAGGTCAGTCTTTCTCTGAGGCGCTGGATCCTCCCTCTTGTGCTTCCTCTGTACCTTCTCTGTGTTTTCAATGTCTCCTTCTTTAGAAGGTCCTTCCCTTACCTATCCAAGTTCTTCCCCATTATGCCTTCTGCTGCCTTCTGCTCCACAGCCCCCTGAAAATACCAACTTTTCTCTCCTCTTGGGAAAGTCCTAAAGTGGATAGAACATTCCTGCCTTTGCAGGAACAGAAAAACATGTCCACCCTATAGGCTATAGTTCTCATTTCTCTACATTAACTCTCAAAACTAAACAAGTCTGTGCAGCTGAGGGGCCCAGTACTGTCTGGACTACTGAAGAATGCTTCTTTGGGCAGAAAGCTACAACCTTTGTGTAAATCTGTAAGCACACAGCATAGCATGGACTGTGTAGGGCATCTGACAGGATATGAAGAGGAAGCAAAGCCTTTTTACTGGTCTTTGTCTCTCAGTGTCTTGCAGTTTCTATTTGATTGCAGTCTGAACCAGGGTAAGGAGCCCAATTCGGGTAGACCCTGTAACACTTCTCTCTTTTCCCTAATCTCTCTCCAATTCACCACTAAATCCTGATGATACTCTTATCATAATATAAGGTTGGTGCAAAAGTAATTGCGGTTTTGCATTGTTGAGGTTTGCCATTTTATATTTGAATACATTCTCAAAGAAATGTGGTTAGGTTATACATCATTTAAACACACTTCTTTATTTATTTATTTATTTATTTATTTATTTATTTATTTGGCTAATGACATTACTTGCTATCTATATTTATTTTAGACTGGGGAAATGATGTTAGATAGAAAGCAAATTCAAGTGATTTTCTTATTCAAGTTCAAAATGGGTCGTAAAGCAGCAAAGGCAACTTGCAACATCAACAATGCATTTAGCTCAGGAGCTGCTAATGAACATATACTGCAGTGGTGGGTCAAGAAGTTTTGCAAAGGAGATGAGAGCCTTAAAGATAAGGAGCACAGTGGTCAGTCATGGGAAGTTCACAATGACCAACTGAGAGCAATCATCAAAGCTAATCCTCTTATAACTATGTGAGAAGTTGCTGAAGAACTTCAACATCGACCATTGTATGATCATTGTACATTTGACGCAAATTGGAAAGGTGAGAAAGCTTGACAAGTGGGTGCCTCACGAGCTGACCAGGAATCAAAAAAATCATCACTTTGAAGTGTTGTCTTCACTTATTCTACACAACAACAACAAGCCATTTCTTTATTGGATTGTGATATTTGACAGAAAGAGGATTTCACAATGACTAGCCTAGTGACAGGACTAAGAAGAAGCTCCAAAGTACTTCCCAAAGCTAAACTTGTACCCAAGAAAATGGTCATGGTCACTGTTTGGTGGTCTGCTGCTGGCCTGATCCCCTACAGCTTCCTGAATCCTGATAAAACCATTACATCTGAGAAGTATACTCAGCAAATCAAGGAGATGCACTGAAAACTGCAATGCCTGCAGCCGGAATTGGTCACCAGAAAGGGGCCAATTCTGCATAACAACATCTGACTGCACATTGCACAACCAATGCTTCAAAAGTTGAATGAATTGGGCTACGAAGTTTTGCTTCATCCACCATTTCACCTGACCTCTCGCCAACCGACTACCACTTCTTTAAGCATCTTGACAACTTTTTGCAGGGAAAATGCTTCCACAACCATCAGGAGGCAGAAAATAGCTTTTCAAGAGTTCATCGAATCCCAAAGCGGATTTTTATGCTCCAGGAATAAACAAACTTACTTCTCATTGGCAAAAATGTGTTGACTGTAATGGTTCCTGTTTTGATTAATAAAGATGTGTTTGAGCCTAGTTATAATGATTTAAAATTCATGGTCCAAAATTTCAATTATGTTTGCACCAAACTAATATCTTCTGTTATTTACAATTGCCACAATCTGCTCTCATTCATCCTCCTAGTTCCAACTCTGTCCAACTCCATTCCATCACTGCAATCAGAATGGTCGTCCCCCAAGCACATCCCTGCTTGAAATCCTTCTGCTGCTCCCTAAGTGCCTAAGAACACATCCAGGCTCCTTAGCCCATCTTGCCCTGGCCCCTGCCTGTCTTGCATCTCCTTCCCCAAAGTTCCAGCAACACCAACCAATTGTTCACCAAATCCCCTAAGCTCTCTTCAGCCTCTGTGTCTTTGCCCTCTGCTCATCCTTCTCCTCCATGTGGAATAACTGTCTTCTGTTTGTTCTTCAGGATGGTTCAAGGATCACCTTCCCAACAGTTTCCAGGGTTGTTCCTTTCCCAAGTACTCTGGGAAGTACCCCAGAGTAACTGACGGTTACCCCAGGAAACCGTCTATCCAGGTACTTTTCATGCGGAGCTGTTCTCATCTGATTCTTGTCTATTTCACACTGGACTATTAGCTCTTTATCAAGAACTGTATCTGATTTCCCTTGTAGTTCCTCTGTTTGGCAGAGGACTTGACACATATACACATATAAATGTCTCTAGAATGAATAAATTAGATTTTAAATAAGAGACAGAACTTTGTATTTGTAACATTTAATATCTCTGTACTGTTTATTCTCATGATGTTGTTTGGTAAGTAAATAGAGATAAATTTCCACAGATTAAGGCCAAAAGAAGTGGAGGACTCTGAATTAAACAAATCTCAATGTATTCAGCTACAACTACTCCTAACAATGACTGAGTTATCAACTGAGTATCAACGCTATCAGAGTTATTTAACTCTGTTATCAACGTTAACTATTTTTTAAGGTATTGAACTCTCAAAATTATCTCCATTTCACAGATAAAGAAATTTTGGAACAGAAAGATTTAATAACTTGTTGATAAGTGGTTGAGCTGGAATTCAAACCTGGCAGAGTCAGGTTTTTTTTAAAACCACTGCATTGTACCACCTGCTGTGTGACCAAAACTGTGCAGAAAAAAAAGTAAATTGGGTATTTGCCTCACCCATCTATGCACTTATCCCATTTATTCTTTGCTTTTTCCACCTTAACTTGGAAACTCACAACTTTAAATATATTGAATTACCAGCATCAAACATTATCTAAGAATTTTTCTGGATGGACTTAACAAATACCTATGTAGCCAGCTCCCTGCCACTGCTAAGAGGAAGTAATAATATAGGATAAATCGTAAGATGTGTCAATTACATGCACTATGTTTCCTTTAGAATTAGTTTTACTTTCTCCTAAAATAGTGCCTGCTTAAAATTTTGACACCTATTTGTGAGGTTGTATTTTTTTAGTGACTTTTTCAAAGAAACATACACTTCTGAGTGAAACTTTAGATTACAAAGACCCTGAGAGAAGGGTCTTTGACCCTATGAGGCCTTTGACATCAAAGGAATTAACAAACATAAAGAGAAATTAGAGGGGGAGGTGAGAGATCCTGGAGTCCTGGCTTTCCATGGCAAATTGAGAAAAATCTTTAAAAAGAGGACACACACCTGGACATGCAAAATCAGACAAAAGTATAAAGCTGAATCACTTTGCAACTTAGTTCCAGAAATTGCTCTGCAGCAAATCAGATGAAACGAGAAGATACCCGACTGGATGTAAAGTGTTTAAATGCGGGGTTTGCTTCTCCCTCGGTTCGCGCTTTATTTTCATCTGCATTTCTCATGGCGGTTTTGTGTGTGTGCGTGTGTGTGTAAAGGTGAGTGGTAGAGGAGTGGTGGCTGGCACAGGAACAAAAGCAGAAGAAGAAAAGAAGATTTCAGTTCTCTGAGGCTTAAACACAAATTCTACTGCTTCAAAAGGCACCAAGTGACAAGAATTTCTCTACCCTGTAGGCAAGCCATAGAAATAGAAATTGCAGTGGAAAAGGGCAAAGAGTAGGAAAAAATTTGTTTTGAGCTATCAAAAAGGGAACCTGGTGGTGGTGGGGAAAAATCAGCAAGATATATTCACCTTGAAACTATGCCTCAAGCTTCCAGAGTTCTGATGCTTTTTTATTTGTAAACAGTTTTCTGCAGAATACATGAATATTTCCAGAACTTGTGACTTGTGATATTTTAGTTTCTTCACCTCCAGTCCTTTGAATGTTCTTTTAATAATAATGGATTAGAGCTTATCTGCATCCTGGCCAGTTTTATAAAACCAAGTAATTGCTGAGCTGGGGAAGTAGCTTTATTCGCATTTAATTTTTTTAAAGAGAAATTCTGCCACCCTCTGGACAGAAACCAAACATCTATTTCTTAGAGACCACCACAGAATACTGTCTTAAGGAACTGTCCTTGAAGATAAACATTTTTTAAAAAAAAATCTACCCTATAAAAGTAGAGGAGGGGGGAATCACAGTTACTTTAGATAGCATAGACAATATCTGGGGGAAAAATTCACATAAAAATACTAAATTGCTTCTAAGGAATTTTTAACTAAAGAAAATGGGCTCAAAGCACTTTAGAGAAAAAATCTTCAGTGTTGAACTCATAATCTTTCCAAAACCACTTTATAGCCTACACTTCTGCTTTCCAGCCTGCAACAGCCAAGTAAAGATTTCTTGCACAATCTCAGCCATGGCTGGTTTCACCCAGTTTTCATTATTGGTGGAATTTTTTTAAATCTACATGTATATTAAATATATATGTGTGTTGGTTTTAAACTAGAACACTAGGGCAGAGTGAGATTTCAGCCACTCTGAGACAAATTAGCCGTAACAGCACAAATGGGTAGCTTGTTTCCGAAGCTTTGCTGTTGTCATCCACTGAGCATGGAGTACTTAATGTCATGTAAATGAAACTCAGAAATGCAGGGATGTGATAATTACCAGTAATAATGCTGGGTAAATCAAAACACATGACATGCCATTTTTTATAAATAACCAGAGAGAGGAAGCAGAAAAATGCCGAGGACCATACCTGGTTTTAACAACAGGATTTAGATGCTTCTGGTCTTGGAGGACTTTGGCCAGCTGCTTCTGCAGAAACAAAAGCTTCCCGTGGACTCCTTTAATAAATGGGTGGTCGAGGAGATGTGTGACCGAAGGTCGCTTTTCAAAATCCTTAATGAGACACCTGTTCACAAAAATCAACAAACAGTCCAAGTATTATCTTAGACACCTGGCTTCTCTGTAAATATGGGAGAGAGGAAAAAAAGCTCATTTATAAAACCTGATCACTAACCTTACATAGCTGTTTATTCATAGGTAGCAGAACATATAAAAAAAACATTCTCTACTAGTCAAATTAGTCAAAATATCAGAAATATATTTTAGTATGCTTTAAATATGTATTGAAAACACAATGAATTTAATTTGAAGTATTCAAAACACTGAAAAGATAGACTGGTCAGACTACATTTTCATTACTAAAAAAATGTTTACAATGGAGTCAAGTTGATTAGTCTATATACTTTATTTTAGAAGCATATAAAATTATATATTATCATTTAAATGAAATCCTAGTATATGAAATGTCCAGTATTTGGTGGTGGGGGAAATACATTTTGGAGTTTGCAAGGACAGAAATGAATCATAAAGAAACCTTCACAGAGAAGATTCAACCCCTTGATTTCTAATGCCTTCTGAAGAAGCAGAAAAACCTCGGAACAGGAAGTGACTACAATATAATTCCGATGAATTGGAATGGAATTATTCAAACAGGGAACAAAAAGTCCATTCAAAATGGTAAAAACTGGGTTGCATTTAAACTCCTCTGTGGTTAATTGGTTAAAACTGCACGGTTGTAACCACTTTCTGCTTCAGATTCAATGCCCTTTTCAAAGAAAACAATGATTCAGTACATTTTGCTGTGTGCTGTATGTTATTAAAGATGATTTTGACACAGGAAATTTCTAGTGAAATTGAATCTGATGAATACCCCTCCAATTACCATCGCATTTCCATTCTGAGTAGCTGCCCTTGACAGGAGAAAGAAATTTCAACATTCACATTTAAGTTATCAGTCCTTAGTTCACACTGGAGGCTTAGGGTAAATAGTAGATGCCTTTCTGCCCACTCCATAAAATAAACGTTTTCAGTTTCCCCAATAGTGACATGCTAGCAACATGTGAAACACAACATATTTAAAATAATGAAATGCACTGACAAATGGTAAAATGTTCAGTCTCAACTTGAGCATCTTTTCAAGACATTTAAGACACAATCCTCAACTGTTGGTTTTATTAAAAGACCTTAATCTTTGCCCTTCAAACTACTTTTGTATCCCTTGACTTCTAGTCCTGAAAGATACTTGGTAAATTTCCCAGTTATTTGGTTTTAGAATTGATTCGGGGGATTTCCTATCTATTGGAACTGGAGCTTTCAACTAGAAAAGCCAAAAGAACCCAGACTATCTCCATTCTGCTGCCTGCACAACTATAAATACCACCTCTGTCTTGCTATGGGAAGAAACCAATCATTTGAATTTTATAGGTCCAGGAGCCTTCTGTATCTATTAGTTTTCTTATAAAATAAAAAACCAGTGCCCAAACCTGAAAAATACTCTGTTCATATTTTTAAATCAGCAGTCTTCCTGTGATTCCACATACATTCATCTATATATAATTATGTGACTACCAAAGGAAAATAAATGCTAATAATTCCCTAAGCACCTGGGAAAAAGAAATTCCTGGATAGTTTATGTGGTCAGAAATATAGGTGTATGGCTTCATCATTTTGGCTTGAGGGATGGTATATGAAAACTCCCAAAATAAAAACAGTCTGTGTTCTCTGAGAGTTCCTACTGAAGATGGACATGGTGGCTTCACACCACTACCCCTACCCAACCTGGATGGGAAACCAGACACTGCGGGGATCCCTAGCTAAGCCTGCCCAGGGATATTGTGAGGGCACATTACATCTGTCTCCCATCACCAAACAGCCATACCACCTGTATATAAGTATATGCCCAAACATGGGGAATGCAATTCCTTAATATATTTTCCCACCATATTAATTCCTTTTGCTTTCTGAGCAACTCTCAACTGCTTGTTGACTAGCCAATACTTAAATAGAAAACTCAAGGAGGCAAAAAGTGAGAGGCATACAATTAATAGAAAATTTATAGCAGGTGAATGGAAAAATGATTAGGAGCTGCTTCTGCCTTCTCCTTCAGGATAGGTACCTTGGAACAGTGTTCCAGGTACTCAAAGCTCCTTAGACAGGGCTTGAGACAGACCAGGAAATCCATGCTCCACCCTTATGAAAATAGGTATCTGCTGGATTCTGGAGATGCAATTAAAGGTGCTATAATATCTTTCATAATTTTAGCACCCACTGGAAGAGTAAGGTTGCAAACAAGGTTACAAGATCCTTTGGCATTTTGGAGAGGATTGCTCTCTAGATCACAGGGCGAGTAAGAGGAATGAGGATAAATAATTTAGTGAGATAATCAGACAAGGGAGAAATTAACAAGTGGATCTGTGATCTCTTGGGAGATTAAAAAAAATAAAGATGGTAGGCATTCTACTCTTTGAAGGAAAGACCAAGAGGATTTATTTGTTAGTTCTCTCAGGAAGGCCCAAGTGTGCTGAATGTCATACCACTGGATCAGCAAAACTGAAACTGAGTGTATATGGGAAGAATGTTAAGCAGAGGTGTGACATATCCAACTGCATTGGAGGATTTTTAGGAGAAGGACAGGAAGACCTTGAGGGTAGAGCCTTATTCTAAAACACTCTTGCATACTTTTTTCTCATGGGGAGCAAATAGCCAGGATGAAATGGACTTATTATTTTACTGATAAATAAAAGAAAGCTCTGTCTTAGGAACAGATATGGCTGGAGGTCAAGCATTACTAGATACCAGGTCATTGAAATCATATCATTTGTTCAGCAAACATTATACAACCAGAATTAGTCAAAATATATTAATTCATAAAAAATTATGACCCTTTTCCTCAAAGATCTACAATGTGATTTTAAAGATGGAAGGACAAGAGGAACATAGAAAACAGCAGAAACCAGTGTTTGATTATTTAGAATGAAAAAGTCACAAAAAAGCATAGGGTTTTGGAGCTAAAGGACCAAGATTTTCTATTCTAACCCCGATTTTACAAGGTAAGGAAGTTGAGGTCAGGTCCTGCTAGTGATGAGACCAATTCCCTGGCTCCCACAAGAGAACCCCTCCTGCTTTGCAGTGCGTTGTTAAAATGGCCCCGGGCACAATGTGCAGAACAATACTAAGTTATGGCAGGTGGGGGAGCAGTCAGGTAAGCCTAGTGGAGAGAATGAGAATTGAGCTGAATTTGGGGAGAAGTTTTGGAACTAAATTGAACTCAATTCGGGGAGAAGATATAGAAGACATTTCCAGGTTGGGAAACTGGATCAGCAATGCAAGAAGCCAGATTAGGCAAGCTGTGTAGTTAGGAACTCAGGAGGCCACCAGAACGTTGACATTCACCTCCTAAGCTGCCTCCTTTGAATGTCTAAGAACAATTCTTCACTTTAGTCCTTTCGCCAACTTTACTTGGGAATATTCTTTATTGTTTAAGATGTTGCAATTTTGTACCCCAAACCCATAACACTATGCTTGTCAGCTTGTCATTCTGTCTTATTCTCCTTTCAGGCAGGGATTTAGTGGATTAATATAGATAGAGTTGACAGTCAAGACCCATAAGAACTCCATGTCCTTTTTTACAGCATGATTAAATCCTCTAACAATGTGGAGAACAAACATGGAAAACTAAGGAAGTTATAATATGCTTATTCATTTCAGGATTTCTTCTTAAACCAGGGATTGCAAATTCCAGATGCAGAATATTTTCTCCCAGCCTGGGATTCAACAGTTTTTATAAGAACATGCATAAAACATTGACCTTTGTGTGGGAATATAGGGGCTGGCCAATGTGAGGTAAATTGGGTGAAACACTAGACTCATGAGACATTCCACTGAAAAATGAAACTAGTCTTCCAGTCAAAAGGTTGGGAAACACTGATGATTCCCTAAATCAAGTAAATCTGGAGCTTCATAGTACATATGAGCATATTAAATGTTCTTAGAAGTATGGAGGTAAAGAAAACTCAATTTTGCTTAGGTCCATGTTTCCAAACTTACTTGGCCACAGATCCTTTTTTGTATCAATGGAACCAGAGCCCTGCAAATGACATCCTTGGAAGCTCTGTTGTGAGAAATTAGTACCAGACTTTTGCAAATAACAGCTGAGTCTTCATCTCAGCTGATTGAGGGGAGACACTCAGAGCCCCTAATTTTCACCAGCATGTTTGAGATACCTGTAGGCTGCATTTCTGCAGAAGACAGGGTCTCAAACTGGAGAAATACATTCTCCAAGATAACTTATTCCCAGAATCTTTGACTCTGGAAAAAAGAAATTGAACAAGGACTAGATTTAGGAAATACTGCTTTTCCCCCCAAAATTGTAAGTAATTTTTTCTTTCAGTTCCAGATGTTTTAAAACTCTTTTTTAAAAATCTGGATTTATGTGTGGTTATCTCTGTGCTAAGATACAAAACAAAGGAATGAAAAATTAAAACTACCATGAGATGTATTAACTGGATTTACAAGGCCATGGACGGTGGTTTTGAATATGATAGAAAAGTCCACCAGAAGAAAAAGGAAGCAAACTTCAGCCCTGAAAGAAATTAATCCATTACCTAATTTGAAATTCTAGTACCTTCCATCATGCATTCTTGGCTGAAGATTAATTCTCAGAATTCATTAGTGTCACCACATTAAACACAGGTTGTTGCAGCCATTTGCTGCAGTCTCCCAGTCTGGCTTCTGCCAGAATCAGGGAGAAAATAAAGAGCCATTTCTTAACAAGAAACAAGGTCAGACTTCTGTGTCGGGCTCTGGAGCTGGCAGTGCCTGTGTTCCTCTTGCTCCCAAATGATCACACTGTCAAGATGCACCTGCCTGGTCGCTGTAAACAGACATTTCATAACTGAAGAATCAGACGCCTTCAAGGGGGAGCTATTTATTAAGAGTCACGAATGGATGTTTACTGATGACTAAACTACACTTGATAAAAGCAGCTGCAAAGTCAAAAACTAAAAATACTTGTGAACTTGGAGACAAAAACAGGAGAGGGAGCAACTGTATTCCACATGTTGGGAC